TCTTATTGTCCACAGGGTGTCCTACCGGAGGCCTCATTAGCTGGTCTGCCAAGTCTCAGACGACGCTGTGAATGCACACAGACACACACTTCCTAGTACGTCCTATTGTAGCAGATAGACAAACTTTTACCAACTGCCAAGGCTCAAGTGACTCTGGATACGCACGCTCTTTTCTCGTCCTATTGCAAAAGGCAGGCGGCCTCTCGCCAACTATCAAAGCTCAGATGACTCTGGATACGCTCGCTCTCTCCTCACCCTGTTGCCATGGCCAAGCGGCCTCTCACCGACTTCCGAGCTCAGACAGCTCCTCGAATACGCATACACACACACACACACGTTTGATACCTTTTAAATGCGCAGTGCTACAGTTTCCCGTCATCCCGAATGCATCAACTCACCCGTGATTAAAGCGATCATGCCCACCAAGCTTTCTTTCCCGATCCGAAAGTCTTTCTCTCGGACAACCTGATTTCACTTTCACGTACTTGTTTCTCTCTCTTCTACCTTATTCTCACTCCCTCTCGCTCTCTCACTCTCTCAGCAACTTCGACCCCTCGCGTACACTTCTTAATCTTCTCTTCAACCACAAAGAAATCCACAGTACCGTCAACTATACACACTCATCCACACGCTCGCTTTTTACCCTTTCCCTCAACACGTTATACACCCACACAACCTCATCTTGGTGCCACATACTATGTCCCTCTCCTTCACTTCCCCAATAGTCGCTAACCTTACCATACACAACGCGAAATACCTCTAGACCAGCTTCTCCAGGGAAGTTATCGGCGTCGTGTCCAAGCGATGTCGCCCATTGCCATTCCGCCTCTCTTAATTGCGTAATCTTCAGCCAGGAAACAAATGATGCCTCCCGTAGATCACCATGAGCTGGTGACGGACGTAGGTTGAACGACGTCTCGATGGCACACACACTCTATATCCTTCCCTCTTGAAGGCCCGTCAAGGAGTCCTCTCAGTCTCGCTGCTCGCGTCCTAATGCTTCGAAATCTCTTCTATCTCTTTCTTTCCCCTACTTCTCTTATACGACCTAGCTCGCATACGTCTTGTTTCCCCCTTAACTATACGTATATACACACACTCCCTATATTCCCGGCACATTACAATTTTACAAAAGACACAGTAAAAATACAATGAATAATTACAATAATCAATACAAATCGACAACTCATATATTTTTCTACCAACCTACCGATTCCCACTAAAATGTACACGTATAGATATATCCGCGCACACACTATTAACGTTAACATCACTCATAGTCCTTTAATTACACATTTCTTCTTATTATTTTCGCTTTTCCCGCTCACGCATCTCTTTGCTCGCCTCACTGGCTCTATGTCTCCGTTGTCATCTCCTCTTTCCTCGCATGAAACATAACGAAAAACGAACACACGTTCACAGGGCATTAAAATAAGCCTAAAACATAAAATTTTACATAGAGTCGAGTTTTGGTGTTTTTCGGCTCAAAATGAACAATGACCCGGTCATATTTTTTAAAATCTTACTTTATAAAATAAAAGCAACAAAATTAGAAGGGGGAAAAACTTATTTAATCAAATGAAAAAATAATTTTTTACTCGTACTCGTACACTTTATACTGGTCGATTGCTTCTTTGAATCAATGTAGTAGTTTTAAGGTTTGAATGAAAAAAAAGTATCTGATTAATTTAATAATCAGAATATTTTGGGTGTATATGTTTTTTAAATCTTACGTTTTTAAGTGTTACATCGGTGCAACGTATTATTTGAGTCTCAGCTTGTGCTTAATAACTTGGGATTCGTACTGGGTGCGTGCGTGGCAATCGAGGTGGTAGTTAGTAAAGTCGTTTGATGGGGTATTCGAAAAAGTGAAAAGACAACTGTTTTGGACGGTTCGAAGCAGTTGCCATGCAGTATCTCGATGCATTCATTCGCGATGCGCCATGGGGTTATCAACATCGCTCAGAGCGATGTGTCAAATGATGTCCCATTCGCGATCTAGAGCTTACCCGTACCATAACGAGTAAAGGTAGTTGTTCTTGAGGTTACGCAAAGGGTTAGGTTAAGTGTTTAAGTTCGCGACCAGCCTAAGAGCCACCAATACTGTGCTAAGTAAAGTCGATTGGCCGAGATTTTGCCCAAAAACACTCAATAACTTAATCCTGTGGTTTTTAGAACTTATCGATGCCGTAATAGGTAATTATGCTGACTTTCAGACTTCATTCGTGATAAGAGAGAATAGACAAAGTAAACTATTTCAATACTTTAAAAAACTTACTTTTATTTTAAGTATTAGAACATACACGTGGCAAACTAGCACAAGGTGCCCAATGCTCAAGTTAAAACCGCACTCGTGGAGGACCGTATGGTAGCAGAGATGAACTCTAACTACCTAGTCAATCGTTCGAGGGTAAAAATGAACTACCTGTTTCTGGGCCTTTGGGCCTTTTTATAAGGAGTGGTGGACCTCTTCCACGCACTGGCTTGAAAACGACGCAGAAAAGCTTGCTGGGAAAAATCTTGGGGGAAAAGACAATAGCCAAAGATCTAATTGGCTAGAACTGCTCCAGTTTAGCCACTCAAAAATTGGCACTTCCCACATCTGGCTTGGTGTCCTACATGCGTCAAGAGAGGGGAGGGTGATGAACTCACTCGAGCCCTTTCTCTCCCTTTTACATCCAAATTTTACAGATTTTCCATGTAACTTAATATTAACATTAAGATGAAACATATAAATTTTACTTATGTTAAGCACTATTCGTTCATTTAACTAAACTCGTGGCAAAAAGAGTGGTGAAAATCGTTTCGTATTTGGTCTAAATGTTTGTTGAATAGAAGATCGGTGCGTTATGGTAATAGTGTTAACTAGAAACCTCGAAAACTGTAAGCGGTGAACTAAATAGCAGCGGTGGTGGCCGCTGCTACAAAATTTATAGTTACAGTAATGGCATTAATAATAATAAATAATAATAACCACGCTATAATAATAATGGTATTTACAATGATAGTAAATAGTGTGGCACCTATCCTAAGCCATCAATTGTTAACTTAACTAGGTTTGTCAGTTAATTCTATCCGTTGTTAGTTACAAATATATTTTTAAATATTAGTAACATGCTCAGATCATATATTTCTCTTTGCCTACTCATTGAAGAGGAAGTCGGCACGTGGTGCTCTAAGGATTTGAAAATTCAGTTACTTATATTGGGACCGCCGTACATACTCTCTCTCGGCATCCTCAAGTCCGGACAAGGGGAAAGTGCCATAGCTTTCCCGTTTTCGTTTACATTTGAAGAAGTAGCAAAGTTTTACCAAATTACAAATAAGTGGTGTAGATAATTTATGTAATTGTTAATGCGATAAAAAGAAGTTACTCGGTAAATCATTTGATAATTGGATAGTTCCTTAAAGGTTGATAAAGCTGTTTGCTAACGGTGTAGTACGTATGGGTTGCTTTTAAACATATGTATTCAATATTATGTTTCAGCGCAGCTATTTACAGTTAAGCATTTGCATCTATTAGTTTTTGCAATCATTTCATTTCTCTGCTTAAAAAGTATATTGCTCGCCTTTCATTTCCGGTCAGCATAGACCAGCGTACACGTACGTGAGTCATGTATGGTCATAGTACCTCAGCTACGAGCAACCCTCATAGGTGATTCATCTCTATTTTTAATGCACATTGGCCTCTACTTTCAGTGCTTCTTAAAATCGGTGTGGAAAACTTTGAAGAAAAGGGAAAAGACAAATAATATGGATACACTGATGTTACATAAAAAAAAGAAACTTACTTAGTAAAACTAAAACGTTATTTAATAAATTCAAAGAAAAATTTCCTACATAGATTCGTACACCTTAGACTAGCCAAATATTTCTTTAATTTAATAAATTAGTTTTTAGTTTTAAAACGTTTTTGAATGAAAAAAATAAAAATACCTAAACTAAAACATTATTTAATGGAATCAAAGAAACAGTGGATACTTTTATTTGTACACATAAATTAAGTAAATTTATTTTAATTCTATTTTAATTCATACGTTAGTATACAGTTTTTGGTCCGCTAAGCTTTTTTTTAGTAATATTAGTAATGAACTATGTGAAAAAATTTAATGTTTTATTTGTTTTTAAGTGATTTTAATACTAATACATACATAAATATCAATAAAAATTAGTTATTCAATAGTTCAAACCACAAAAGTGTTGCCCTATTAAAAAGGCTAATTGTAATGAGTCAACTTTCAAATCTAGTCAAGCAATTTGATAAATATTCATCCTGCTATTAGATAGATACACGTTTATCAAAAAGATTCGTAATTTATTGTATTCCAAGTGAAATATAAAGAAATTCAACTAGTGTTCTCTTTTAGCAATGCAAGAATTAAAAGCATGTATATCAAGGTTGAAGTAGTAGATTGATTTGAAAACTGTTTGCTTATCCTCATCAGAATCACCACCTAAAGAAGCATAAAATAAGAAATAATTGTGGGGGCTTTCGAATTCTCACTTCAAGATTATTTATTAATTTATGGTTTTTATGGCATTCATTGGTATTTACTATTTAAGGTAAAGATAACCTTGAAAAGATACAAGAAGAAAGCATTAGTTTAAAATTTAAAAAAAATGAGTGCACACTGTTTCCAACCCATGTTTTTAACGCAGTCTTATAATTTTAAGTCATTGGAAAACCTAAGTAATGGTGTGGTTTTTCTCTATTGTTAAGATTTTAACCTTATTTTCAGGTCGTTTTAGATCTATTTGGAAAAAAAAAAAAAAAAAAATGTTAAAGTCTTTTTTGCTTTGGAGAAACCGCATACAGTTTATGAGTGAGAATTTAGTTAAATAAAATACTGCGATGAATAGTTTTCTGTCCTCACAATACCAGCAATTTTTTCGTTCATATATGTTGTATCATTTTGGATCTATTTTAATCATAAGATTTGATCGAAAGTTATTTTAAATAACAAAATCCAAAAAAAATTATTTTTTTATGTTCCAGAATATTCACGTGTCATTTTTACGAACAGTACCTCCATATTCTCATCAAGCTGATGTATGGGTAGAGTTATTAAAGTATTTTAATTACTTAAAAGTTATTTTTATTCATAGCTCCGATACTGATGGAAGGTCTTTACTTGGGCGATTTCAAACAGCATCACAAATCTTTGAAAGTGACATGGACTTGAAAATTCAGGTAAAATAAAATTCTATGTCATGAATTAAAATGCAGTTTAATTTTTTGGTAACTTAATTATAACTAACCGATTCTTATTACATTTCACTCACTAGCAGGTACTTTAATTCTGCTGATACGAAAGTATTTAAATATTTTTTCAGTGGTTGTCTTGTTTGCATTCGACTCAGGAAATAATTTATATATTGTTAGGTATTAAAGTACTTCTATTCTGAGTAGCTAATATGCAGTAACAACGGGCATGTGATTTAAGTATACGCATTACCGATAGGAAGAGATATTATTTATAATCAATATAAAAATACAAACATTTATTACATACGCTGAGAAAAGTTGTGTTTAAAAAAGTATTGCAACTATAATAAAAAATACCATATTTTATAGGAAAGCTCAGACACACTATACAAACTACTATGCTACATAGTAAAACCAGATTATATTAAAATTTGCTATGCGACATAGAAATTTTTACTTTGTTCAGAAACAATTTTTATATCAAAGTAAAAGAAGAAGAAAAAATATATGTATTATAAATATATGCTCAGGAAATAAATGTGTAACTGTTAGAAAATTTAGAAATATATNATCTTGCGACTGCGTGCGCGCAAGCAGCGGCTAACCAACGATCATAGAAGTAAGTTAAGTTAAGGAAACTATAAATTGTATAGCATTGTAAATGCGAATCTGAAACTTTATTATTTATACTATTTGTAAAATTAACTATTTCTGGCTTTTCTAAATTTATTAAATCATCAGATAAGACATAACTTGGTTGTTGATTAAATTAATTTTCTTAATTCAAAAACATTTCAATTACTAAATTATATGAAACATTTCAAGATCTAATAATTCTAATTGATTGACACATAATTCTTACCTTAATAAATAAATTGAATATCAAGGAAAAATAAAATAGACACTGTGTTACAAAGACCTTTACAAGGACGTAAGATGAAAAGATGAACAAGGTACGCTACTACCATATGACATAAAACATAAACTCGAACAGTAAGTTAACGCCAGCTCAGCATACACCACTCCATACATATTGCTTGGTGAAACCTAACACCACAATGCCAAGTCAAAGATTTCAAAGAACAGTATACTGTAAGTAAAAGCAAATAAGGCCTCTAGACAAAAAGCTGGTTTCTGTCGAACAAAAATTAAATTTATTTGTTTGTAGAACAAATCTACGAGCTTCGCCATTTACTTATAGAAGTTCGGACGTAACACTTGATTGAGAAACAACGAATAATTCTGTAGAATATTAAAACTATAGACTTTGCTTGTACTCCTATTCACCACGGAAGGTTATAAATTATCTTTTTCTTTTTCCTTAATTATTTGACATATTATCACACTGGACAAACTTATGACAAATTTAAACCTTTTTTTTTTATTTAAGGTAATCTGCAACGTATAATAGAAACGAATGTTAATGCAATTAAACCTTTGTATGATTTAAGAAGTTAGTGTACACATTATTTAAATACACATGTATTAATGTTTGAACTGAAATTATTTCGTATTTGGTCTAAATGTTTGTTGAATAAATGATCGGTGCGTTATGGTAATAGTGTTAACTAGAAACCTCGAAAACTGTAAGCGGTGAACTAAATAGCAGCGGTGGTGGCCGCTGCTACAAAATTTATAGTTACAGTAATGGCATTAATAATAATAAATAATAATAACCACGCTATAATAATAATGGTATTTACAATGATAGTAAATAGTGTGGCACCTATCCTAAGCCATCAATTGTTAACTTAACTAGGTTTGTCAGTTAATTCTATCCGTTGTTAGTTACAAATATATTTTTAAATATTAGTAACATGCTCAGATCATATATTNCCTTTAGCGCACTGGGTTATCGGGAATTAGGCATTTGGGTTTCATGTGTTCGGGCTTTGAGCGCTGTGTCTTCGAGTTTCGGACGTTCAAACGTCGTGCAGGTGCTCGGCCAATCAGAGGCTGGCTCCACACAAGCGTGTGCTAGTAGCGTATCTTATTCATCTTTTTATCTCACGTCCTAGTAAAGGTCTTTGTCATACAGGGTCTGTTTTATTTTTCCTCGATATTCAACTTATTTATTGAGGTAAGAATTATGTGTCAATCAATTTGAATAATTAGATCTTGAAATGTTTTATATAATTTAGTAATTGGAATGTTTTTTAAATAAGAAAACTAATTTAATCAACAACCAAGTTATGTCTTATCTGATGATTTAATAAATTTAGAAAATCCAGAAATAGTTAATTTTACAAGTAGTATAAATAATAAAATTTTGGATTCGCATTTACAATAGTATACAATGTATAGTTTCCTTAACTTAACTTACTTCTATGATCGTTGGTTAGCCACTGCTTGCGCGCACGCAGTCGGAAGATCTTGCAAGGTTGACAGCAATGATGTTCCTAATTCTACATGAGAGCACTCGTGGCCATAACAATAATTGGGCTTCTGCTTTTAACGTCGGAACCCAAGTTGACGGTCCTTTCTTTCTTGTTCTCCTTTAGTTCACTTTTTAGGCGAGTTTACAGTGGCCTGGTTTGCTTGAGCTTTTCTGACACAGCTTAGTCACCGAACGAAGTCTCACATTTGCTTGAAATGCACACTCTTAACACGTAGCTCAATCACTAAGCTAAGTTTTCCATCCACTCAAAGGACGCAACAGAACTCACTTCCCAACCCTTATAGTTACTTTGGAGCACTTGATAAAAGAGAAAAGGCGAATATTGTTATGTGCGTGGAGTTTTTATACTCTTGCGTTCAAGGAGGACGCATCAAGTTGGAGATCTGAACAACCAATCAGAGCTTAACCTAATTACTCTTGACTGACACGAGCACAGTCGTGGTGCAATAATTTCACAGTAATTAATGGTTAAAACTTTTGATCTCTTGGACTCTTGGATTTTACATTAAATACAAGTTGCTGTTGAAATTGTGTATGTTATTTCTTGTGTACATACGCAGTAAAGAATGTTAAAGTTTTTGATAATTCACATTATTTGGTACTTGAGCAAATTCATTTTGTAAGATAAGCATTCTAAAAGATAGTTTGAGTTTGCACTCGTAGTCCGAGTTTTACGACGGTAGCTTGTTTCAAATAAAGTAAGTTATATGTCACTTGGTTGTAAAATCAGGTATACCGCTCAATGGTTCGAGATCACTGGGCTTTTGCTTTTTATAATTTAAAAACGAAACTCTGTGTTTTGAAGTAATAAGTATTAAGTATATGGCATGGGATGTCACACAAGCATGACAATAACATATCATGTATTAGTACAAATTTAATAATGCTATAAATAAACTTCTCCACAATTTAATGAAAAAATGGCACACCATAGAAGTACCATGAGAAACGCCTGAAAATGTGTTGACAAATTATATAAACAAAATGATTAATAACAGACTGGTGGAAAGTAGCCAAAAGACCTAGAATAAATATTGGAGTGTTGCTGAGACAATTTGTTCTTAAAGTAGGGTGCTTAAGGGCGTTACTTTTAAAAGTAACAAAAAAGCTGAGAGGAGGATTGCAAAAAGTGATTCAACTGAAAATGACACGATAACCAATACAATTTCACCTCATATGAGATGTGGCTAAAGCATGGTTGGAAAGAGTTGTTTCAAATTTTCAGTAGAGCTTATTGAGTAACCTGATTTTTGGGCTATAAAATTGTGAGGAGACTGAGAGGGTTGAGAGGTGTGAAGGCTGCTAAACTAAAAGTTAAACTTGTAGAAATAAGATACACACCGATCGATTGTATCCTTATTTTTGAGGGGGGGGGGGGTTAAAAGGCCGGTAAAAAGATAAGAATGGGCTTTTTAAAATTGAGGGGTGAGGCAGAGAAAGGTAGAGGGCGTGGTTACTTAACAAAAATTAAAATTAAAAACCATATAGTCAACTTTTACCTAAATTAAAGGGGTTCTAAATGGGGTAAGGTTGTAGAAGCCTTCTCAATTACTATGTTTTATTTAAACGATGATTGGGATACATGTGTATGTGCGTGTGGATTTTCTGTGGGTAAGGAGAAATAAAGGCTCATAGTTAGCTCAAATAAAATATAAACACTAATAACGATAATGCATTTATGTTTGTCTGTAAGGTTTTGTTAAAATAAAAAAAAAGATTTTTGCAGGTTGCACTTATTTCTACTATTCATATAAGAAAATTAAATTTTCGATTGCTTTATATTTTTGAATTGTCTGTATTTTTATTTTTGTCAACTTTTGACTGCTTCGTAAGGCTTGCGAAATCCAATCAAAACATTAGAGACAAATGTTGATCTATTACTATCAACCCTGTATATATTTTACGCATGCTTATCACGAACCCTTGTTTCCCTTTATTTTAAAAATTGTAAAAAAATTAGATAATAATACGACATTCTTATTTGACAATGATTAAAATACTTGTTAGTCATTTAACGGCATATGGCATTTAACAACGTTCAACATCAGATTTTTAGATAGTCTAGATAGATATATTTAAAATTTGATTAGTTTCGCTTCTCTGTGGCTGACATATGAGAATGTATAAAAATATCATTTGATAAGACGTTTTCCACATTCAACATAAAAGTTGACAAGTTGACAATTGGTATACCAATTGGTTTGCCAATATCTTCGATGTTTTCCAACTTAGGTATTGATAATATCGAGTCAGATTGCTTGAGAGAACTTATGAAGGAATTTCATGCTCAGGCCTTACTTAACTCTTATGTGCATTTGGTCTCAACATTTTAAAACGGTATAACAAATTTTTAAAAATTTTAATGAACATTGCAAATTGACATATTAATTTTTATTTATTGTAAAATTAACTACTTAGACATTTTTCTTGCTTTAAATACTATGATTGTTATTAAGTAGATCTCAGGTGGTCAACCACAGGTGAATTATTATATCAACATTCAAACTACTCTATCTTGTTTGAAAAAAATATGATACTCAATCGTGTAGACAGAGCCATTTTATTATCTGCTTTCCAACATCACAAA